TTATTTTTCAATATTTTTTAGAATTATTTATAATTAAAATGTCTTCGCAATCAATGACTGAACGTCACAACTCTACAAAACTCTTTCATGAAAAACTTTCAATGCTAAATGATAATCTTATTAAATTCCTGCAAAAACAACATGCTAAGAAACCCTATGCAGATTTGGTTTGTTTGTTTGGTTTTTTTGGATAATTTTTATTTATTAGACACCTACGTTAAATGATTATTTCAATCATCTTCGTACCTTGGATCAAATGTATTCCTCTGCTCCTGAATCGGATCTGACTTCGCCCAAACCGGCTCAAAGTAAATTTTAAAAATTTTGTGATATAAAATATTTGCGGTCTAGAGGAAAAGTCAAATTATTTTTTAATAAAAAAAATCTAAAATTATTTATCAAAGCTGTTAGCAACCAATTTCCATCTTTCATTACTCCTGTTTCTGTTGGAAAAACTTCTGAAACTACCTTGACTTCTACATCGGTAACAGCAACAATTACTCCAACTTCTACTGCTCCAACATTTCCTTTGGTTTCACCCAAGCCTTTGTTTGGTGGTTTTTCTCAGACTTCTAAAGACAGCAATGGTATTACTTGTAAGAAATTTTATATTTTTAATGAATGAAATTAAAAATAAAATAAACTTTACCACTAACTGACTTTAGCCGAGTATTATGTGATTAAGGGACACGCCCAAGTAGGCGCGCGGCCATAAAGACGCAAAGCCATAACGCTTGAAAATTTCTTGCTCTTATCAATTTTGTTTCCAATATTTTTAGCTCGATGAGAGGAATCGTTTATTACTAAATTTGCTAAAATTCGGAAATCTTGAAGCAAGTTATGGCTTTGCGCCGTTAAGGCCGTGCACCTGCTTGGGCTGTACCGTGTGAATAAGCTTCAAATCCCTTCTAATTTTATTTTTTCAGCAACAACTACTCTTTCGACCTCAACCTTCACAATACCAACTTTACCTACATCAATTACTTCTTCTGGTTCAAATAATTTGTTTTCATTGCCAAAAACGACAAATTCTTTACCTGTTGAAGCTCCTGCCAAAAAATCACTTAAACGTTCAGCGGACACTTCGATAGAGGAAAACGGAACACAAAAGAAGCAATTATTTTCATGTTATTGTTATTTAATTTAAATTAATTTTTTCTTTTTTTTAGCAATTTCTGCCAACCAATTGCCAACTTTTCCTTCTTTTTCTACTCAAAAAACAACTGGGGAAATAACTTTAACTACTCCAACATTTACATCAAATATTACCACAACAACAACAACTGTTTCTTCTGCTGCTCCACCATTTGTTTTTGGTTCTTCAAAGCCGGCGGTTAATTTGTTTAGTGGTACTAATTCGTTATTTTCGACACCTGCAGTTGAGACTACAAAGGATAATAATGGTATTTTAAATTTTTTTGTTAAATAATTTACAAAAAACTTTTGAGAAAATAGAGTTTTTGCACAATACTTTGTAGAAATATTTTACTGTTTTGGAATTTTTTGATAAAGTCTGGTCACTTTCTGGCCTCTTTTCTTTTTTGATTTTAACAGGGACAGATTTCAGGTTAAAACTTTTCAGGTGGGAGGTTAAAACAGGTTAAAACTTTTTAGGTCCAAGTAGGCGCGCAAAGCCATAACTTGCTGGAAAATTTCTAGCCCTTATCAATTTTGGTACCAATCTCTTTAGCTCGACGAGAGAAATCATTGTTAGGATTCTCTCTATGAGAGGAATCGTTGTTAGGAAAAATTTGTTAGGATTCGGAAATCTTGAAGCAAGTTATGGCTTACGCCGTTACTTGGGCTGTACCCTTTTTTCAGGTATATGTTTTACCGGGTCCTGAAAAACCTGATTAAGCTCTTCCCTAGCCCGAGATCTACTATCTAATAATAATTCAATATTTAAAATTTAAAAACATTTTTTAAAAGCTTCTGTCATCAAACCGTCACTTTTTCCTTCCTTTTCTGAGAAAACAAACGGAGAAACAAATTCTACAATTACAAAAACAACTTCAAATTTAATTACTCCAATAACTTCAACAAAAACAATAACTTCTACAGTTCCAACATTTTCTTTTGGTGGATCTCTGTCCAAACCTTTTGGTGGTATTAGTTCAAATTTGTCTTCTAATACTTCTAATATATTTGAGACTTCAAAAGAAAATAATGGTAACGATTTAAAAGAAAATTTAAATAATTTTAAAAAATTAGAATTTTTTAAATAATTATTGTAGGTAAACGGAACCTTTAATTTTTTGGCAAAATTAAAATTCTTCAAACTTTTTGATGAACGCGAAATCTAACAATGGAACATCGTTTGCTGTCAGTACGAATTTGATAATTTTTACATTCGATAGAGTTCCCTCGACTTACTATTGTGGACCAAAGAAATTATATCAAATTCGCACTGACAGTAAACGATGTTCCTTTGTAAGAAAAGGAACTTTTCGAACAGTTTTTACAACCTAGTTTGTATTTTTTGACTATTTCTTCTCAACACATTTTACCTAATTTTTGCGACTTACAGTTTTCTAGACCTAAGAAACTTGCTATTTTGAAAAAAATTTTCATTCGAAGCCTCGTTTTATTATTTACTTTACCATAACTACAAGAATATTAATGCCTAATTAAAAAATTTCTTTTTGTTAAGTTTCTTCTGCTCTTAAATTTCCATCCACCTTTCCATCTTTCTTCTCTCTTGACAAAACAACAGGAGGATTAACTGCCACAACAACAACCACAAACTCTACTACAACTTCAACAACTTCTACCGTTTCAACATTTTCTTTTGGACTTTCATCTAAACCGTCTTTATTTGGCGGTACTTCATCTTCATTATTCTCATCTTCGGCAGTTGAAGCTCCAAAAAATAATAATGGTTATTTTTAAATAAGTTAAAAAATATTTTTTCAAAGATAATGAAGAAGATGGAGATGATAAACCAGAAGAATTTACTCCGAAAGATAATTTTCAGCCAATTGTTCCATTGCCATCGAAAATTGAGACTAAAAGTGGGGAAGAAAATGAAGAGGTTTTTTGAGGTTTTTAAATGAGGAAAAATTTAATTTTCTTTTTTAGATTGTTTTTGAGGCACGTTGCCGTCTATTTCGCTTTGATAAAGCTGATAAAGAATATAAGACGAGGGGAACTGGCGATTTAAAGGTTTTCTTAAAAATGTTTATTTAAACATTTATTTTATTTTTAGATTTTATTTGATAAACAAAAAAATCGTTATCGTTGTGTTGCTCGCAACAGTGAAGGATTATCTAAATTATTCGCCAATTTTGTACTTTTTGCTAATTTTAAAGTTGAGAAAAAAGAAAAGCCAAATTGTTTGATTTGGAGATGCAAGGTTTGTTTTAGGCTTTAGAATCACCCAAAAAATTTTTTTGAAAAACAAAACTTTTAGGATTCTAGCGAAAATATTGAAGGGAGTGATGAAACTTTTTTGGCTAAATTTCGAGATGAAGAGACTGCTCAAAAATTTTCTAAGAAAGTGGAAGAAATTGTTTCTGGGTTGTCTTCTGCATAATTTAAATAGGGAATGTTTATTTTGCCGTTCTTATATGTTGTGAAAAAAATATATTGCTTGTTATTTTATGGATTTAAATAAATAGTTTGTTTTTGAATATTTTATTTACTGAAAAATTAAAAAAAAACGTAAAGTGGTATATTTAAAAGATTCTAAAAATATATTTCAAAATACACTCGATCTCACAATTTGACATCATTTGTGAAACAGTCTTGCATTAATGTCAGTTATCTTTTCGAACATTACAAGTTAGATCGCTTGTATTAGAAAATATGAAGTGATTTTTGAGATTATTTTACAAGAGAATATTAAATTATGTTGAGAGCATTAAATGAAATTAGGAAAATTTATAAATCCAAAAAATTTTATTGGAAGTTCTTGGAAATCACAATAATTTTCTGGCGAAAAAAACAGATTCTTTGTAAACACATTTGCGCTCTCAAAACAATTGAAAGTGAAACATATATTAGAGAGTAAAGAGATAACCGGTGATGTGCGTAAATTAAATTTTACAAAAATTGTCAAAATTACCTATAAAGTTTCAAGAAATTATAATTTGCCCTAAAATTTTTCGGCTCTACTCCAGTTTATGCGTCCAATCGACTTTTATGAGTCCAATTAAAGTTTATGCGTCCAATCGACTTTTATGCGTCCTGTGAAAGTTTATGCGTCCAATGAAAAGTTTACGCGTCCTATATAAGTTTATGCGTCCAATGAAAGTTTAGGCGTCCAATGAGAGTCCTTGCTTAAGGGCTATGTTTAATCCTCGTAATAATTATATATACATTATTGTAGACGAAGAAGACATCATGAATTAGCCTGAATCATTCGACTCAGCTCGAAAAGCTAAGTTTAATTTCACTCAAAAAACGAATTTTACACCCCAAAAAGTGCTTACCCCCCCTCCCCATGGTTTTCCGAATTTCAGGGACTTTAACTCGGCTCGTAGTTGAGTCCGCGGACTAATTTTGGTGTCATTCGACTCAGCTTGACTCGCTTTTCGATTGACATATAAATTGTTCAAATCTATAATCACTCGGTAAAGAGTACTTAGGCCATCTTTTTTGCTTAATAACCTCATTGGATCATAAACTTTCATTGGACGCATAAACTTTTAATTGGACGCATAAACTTTTAATTGGACGCATAAACTTTTAATTGGACGCATAAACTTTCATAGGACGCATAAACTTTCAATGGACTCATAAACTTTCATTGGACGCATAAAAGTCAATTGGACGCGTAAACTTTCATTGGACGCATAAAAGTCGATTGGACGCATAAACTGGAGTAGAGCCAATTTTTCTTCAAATCTTCAGTACAGGCGGGCAAATTCGAATTTTTAATAGGGTGTATTATAATTTCTTTAAGGATAGTTACTAGTTATCGAGAAAAGCGTAGGAAATGTCTTTTAAATTTTAATTAAAATTTTCAAACTTCCCACCATTTTAATTAATTTTTCCTTTCTTTAAATCATTTCTGATTCTTCCACAATATTATCATTTTGTTTTTGATGTTCTTTTTGTTGTTGTTCGCTTTGAATTCGTTGTTGTTGTAATTGAAATTCTTCAATTTCAGTCCAAATCATTTGACGCCATTGATCTTTTTAATTTTTTTAATTAAAAAAATTCTTTCTAAAATAATTACCAATACTCAAATCTTGTTCTATATCTACTTCTATATGAGAATCAGCAATAGGTTCATCATTTGGATCGTGATATTGTTTGAAATAGGGATGTTCCATAGCTTGTGCAGCTGTTGGCCTTTAAATATATGAAAAATAAAAAAATATTTACGAGTTTTTTAGTATTATCAATTTTAACAAACTTTTCGATTTGGGGGGCAGGGAAAAAAGACAAAAATTGGCAATATTTTCGAAATTTTTACACACAGTTAGGAATGTTCCCTTGTAAGACGACAAAACTTTCGAATCAAATTTAAGTCCATTCATGTAAGGATTAATCATTAGAGCCCAATGGCACGATGCTACCGCCGGTATTTATCGGTATCAGTATTTTTCAGTTTTTTGGGCATTTTATCGGTATTTTCGATATTACGGTACGGTACGAAATTCGGGGCTTAGGTCAAATAGAAAGCAATAGGTTTTAGACCATTCTATACTCGACAAAATAAAAATTACAAAATTTCCACTCAAGTTTGTAGTAAACCCCCATTAACAATTTCATATCAGGGATGGGTCGGGTCGACGATTGCGGGTTTGCGGGTTGAGATTTTTCTCATTTTCTTATATATGGAATTAATTTGAAAAAGTGTATATGGAGTAGGTTAAAAGGAACCCGGAGCCTTTGTTTTTGGTCCAATTTTCAAATAATTTTCTATTTGTATAGCGTCATGTTTGACAGACAAACTGCCAAGAATTGGACAAAAAATCTTACCTTCTGTTCAAAAAGCAGGCATAAAAAATTATAAAAATTTAACAAAAATTACTCCGTATACACTTTTTCAAATAATTTCAGATATAAGAATATGGGCAAAATTACAAACCCGCAAACCCGCAATCGTCGACCCGACCCATCCCTGTTTCATATTATATTTGATTCCTTACCTATAATCTGGATCTAAATTTAACGTTCTTTCAAGAAAATCAACAGCTTCAGGAGTTGCCGCTTGGAAAAAGGATTTAAAATTTTTTCTTTCAATTCTAGGCATATTTCTAATATAATTTCGAGCTTCTTCTGACGAAATTTTCTTTAAAAAAATTTCATAAAAATTTTATTTTTAATTTCTTTTACTTTTAAAAATTCTTCACTAGGAGTTCCACAAACAGACATTATACGTGTTAATTGGTCAATATCTAAAAAATATTTATTTTAAAAATTATGTATTAATTTTACGATCAGCTCCAGGAAATAATGTTTTTCCAGTTATCAATTCTGCCATAATACAACCAACAGACCAAATATCAACTTTAGAAAAAATTAAAATTATTTAATTAAAAATTTTTCTGTCAAAATTATAATCAATAATTAATAATATAAATCAAGCGCGTAGCCAGGAGGGCTGAAGCTCCCCCCTAAATCGACCTCCGGGATACGTCCTTGATAGCAATAGATATTTAAAAGGAAAAGCTTCTATAGGGGTGTATTCAGTGATAGACAAATGAAGCTACAACTCTCGCGTGAAATCTGGAAAAATTGATGGAAAGAGAATAATCAAAAATGAAAAATTTTCGCCCTAAAAAGGAGCTGTTTTACATCTTTCTAATAAAAAAACAATTTTTATAATTAGCCTAAAATACCCTAACATTTTTACATCAAAGGAATTTTCTAAAAATTCTTCCACTAAAAACAACAAATTACCAGTTTGTGTATAATGCATCCAATTTAACATAATTTCAGGTGCCCTATACCAACGTGTAGCCACATACCCAGTCATTTCTTGATCTGCTTGTCTAGCCAAACCAAAATCCAAAATCTTTAATTTAAAAAAATAATTATTTTTAATTTAAATTTAAAAAATACTTTTAATTCACAATCTTCATTTACAGCTATATTTGAGGGCTTTAAATCTCTGTGGATAATTCCTGCTGAATGAATATACTTTAAAAAAAGAATTAAAAATTTTTAAATAAAAATTTAAAAAAACTTTTAGGGCACGTAATATTTGATAAACCAAAAATTGAATGTGATCATCACTAAGTCGCTGAATCTTTAAAATATTTGAAAGGTCTGCACCCATTAAAATTGAAACAAAATAACTTTAAAAAATAAAAATAAATTAAAGTTTTTAAATTTAATTTTAAAGAAAATTTTTAAAAAATTGCAGAAAATAGTTAAAAGTAAAATAGTTTTAAAAATTCAAAATTTATAAGATTCAAGAAGGGTTTCTTGGGTTCAGGGGAATCGTATGAATCGTGGGAATCGTATGAATGGGAATCGTACCAGGAGGAATCGTAAGTATGAGTCTGTGATTATTTGAGTATATCAAAAAGTTTCTTGGGTCAGTCAATCTAAATCAGTGGACAGACATTCTAAATGAAGACAGGATTCCCCAACATGATTTAGCTTGACGGAAGAAAAAAATTTTTGTTACCCACAATTAAAAATCTCAAAATCACAGACACAAACTTACGATTCCCTCCTGATCGCGGCCTGGGTTCAGTCCAATCCTTGAGTAGAAATATTGGGAGACTACAAATGTTGAAAAATCGTTTCCTTTCCTTCAAAAATCGTTTCCTATATCCCTCCGAAAATTTTTTGTGGATAAGTCAAGTCATTCTATCCCTTCAATATCCCCCTTTAAAACCCCAATTTTTAAATAATTAAAAACCTACACATCCTCTAAAGTTTCAGCAGAATTATCAGGAGTAAACATATCATATAAATCAATAACATTTTCGTGTCTCATTAAACGTAAAAGTCTCAATTCCCTTTGTGTTCTTTTTGCATGGATTGGGCTTTGGAATGGACGAGTAAATTTTTTAATTGCAACTCGATCACCGGTAGTTATACATTCAGCAGAGCTTAAAAATTAAATTTTTTTGTAAAGGGGTTGCCTTTTTCGAGCCGGGCCGACGGTCGAGTCATTTTTTCGGGCTTCATTTTTATCGAGTCGGTTAGTACGAGTCTTTTTCGGGCCAAATTTCTTAGACACGACTCTATCTTTCGGTCCGAGTCGGTCCATTTTGGCCATTTACTTATAAAGGGGATAAAGTAAAAAATATGTTAAAATTAACCAAACAGCTCCATAAGCACCAGTCCCCACGGGAGTAACTTTAAAAAATATTTTATTTAAAAAAATCATTTATTAAATTTACGTTTTTGATAACATTCAGGAATAACCCAAACAGATTTGTTTAATTCAATTGTATAAAATCCTGGTTTAACATTTGATTTTACATTTTGTTTTTGTCGTTGATGGGGAGAAGGAAACATTCTTTATTATTAAATTATTTTAAAAAATAATTATTATTTGTTGCTATTTATTTTCATGAAAATCCCAAGTTGTCATTAAATAAAAATTTTTGTAAATCTGAAATTTAAAAAATTGAAAACTGGAGAAAAAATTAATACTCAAGGGAAATAAAAAATTTATTTAATGTAGGAAATCATAATTCACTTGACTGTTATATACTTTAAATATGCTTTCATATTTATTAAACAGTCAAGAAGCGTTAGATCCTTTGTCAGTAAAATCTGGCTGTACAAATTATTTTGGTACATTAAAAAATACTTTCCGACTTCATTTAGGGAAAGTACTGACATTTTCTGTACCAATCAGTTAAAGATCCTTTGCCTCCAAGGCTGTGAAATCTGTTAAGTTCAAAGCCAAAGGATTCAGAATAAAGGCTTTAAAGCCTTTATTCAGAGTTGGAGATTAACACTAAATATTTAATAAACTAGTGTTAATCCCCAAAACTCATCCATTTCTAAAGACATTAACAGATGCTTTAAAGCTTTATAAGGCCACACATTGCTTAAAAGTCTGTCCAAGCGTTCCTTTAAACATAAGAATCGATAGAATATTTTATTTGTATATTATTTAAAGTTGTTAATGCTTTCCTGCTCACCGCTGTAATACTTCTAAAAACAAAAAATGTATAAATTATTTAAAAAGAAAAAATATTTTTTAATAAATATTAATTTTTAAAAAACAAAATAATTTAAAAATTAAAATATTTATTAAAATTTTGAGCAAAAAATCATTTAAAAAATTAAAAACAATTATTATGGCAATTAAAAGGCAATTTAAAGCTATATAAAATTGAGCAGATTAACAAAGCTAAAAAAGACTAGAAAATAATATGTATTTGTATGCAAAACAAATTGAAAGGCAAAATATTTAATTAAAATTATTTTAAGGCTTAGCGTTTTTAAGGCTTCACAGGGAAGGAAAAAAGGATGCTTACTTGCTTATTAATTAAAAAATATTTTCTATAAAAAGAAATAAAGAAACCTAATTAAAATCGAATCTCAATTTTACATACCCAAATAAGGCTGGAAAGATTCAAACTCCAGTGTTTAAAAAATTGTTATTAAAAATTTTTAAATTAATTTTTAAAAATCCCAAACTTACAAGGAAACATATCCAAATGTATGTGACTTTTCGAAATGGGGGGGGGGGGGCAGGGCCAAAAAAGAAAAAGTTGACAATAGAACCTGCTCTATAAGATGGTACAAAAATATATACAAAATTTTCACATATAGTTCAAAATGTTTCCTTGTCCGTATTTATTTTAAATAAGGATGTAAAATTGAGTTTCGGCCAAACTTTTAAAAAATTATTAATTTTTTGTAACCGTAACTCCAGTTAAACTTCTCTTCCTTTGCCTATGTGCTGCAAATAAAGCAGCCTCTTCTTCACTAGAAGATCTTCGACGGGAAAGTCTTTTTTGATGTTTTTGACTGGCAAAAGCTATAGCACTAGATATACTGACAGTTGAACTATTTCTTTTACGTTTTGTTGGAGATTGTTGTTTAAAATGAATATGGTGTTGTTGTTGTTGAGCTTCTGTTTGTAAAAGATCGGCAACAGAAGGAGAACTTTTAACAAGAATTAAAAGAAAAAAACATTTAAGTTTACCTATGCATAGATACAGCACGAAGAGTATTATAAGGCGAAGCAACAAATGAAGGGGAAGGCTGTCCTTGTAATGAAAGAGTAGAATGGCCATGAACACTTGAAAAGAATTATTTTAAAAATTTAAAAATTAAGTTGAACTTCTATGGGAGGTAAAGGAATTCTAAAATAGACTAATCTCAAAAAATGATCGCCTACTTCTCAGTAAATTTTGTTTTATAAATCAAATTTAATAAAGAAACATACACAGGTGGAAACAATTTCATTTCTTTATTTGGATCAACCAAATAAGTTCGAGCATTTGGGTTCTCCATAATAGTTTGAACAGGCGGAGGCATTGGTTGATAAGGATTTACTTCATAAACAGCTCGAGGTTGCTAAAAAATTTTTTTAAATTTAATCTTCATTTCTTTGTAAAACCTGATAATGAGTTGTGTAAACAGTCACAGAAGCAGGTTGATCCCCATGATGGTGATGACGAAGTTTATCGCTCAAAAACTTTAAAAAATAACTTCACTTGTTTATAAAAAAATTTTAAATTAAAATTTTTGGAAGGTCAGAGAATATTTAAATTTTAGTAAAATCATAGCTATTCATAGAGATTCCCACTAAATATTTAAATTGGTCATCACTCCTTCCAAAACTTATGTAAAATAAAATATTTACCCACTTAACCACAAATGCATTTAACGAAAAATAAATAAATGAAGTAAATAATTTTGAACTTTGAGCAAGAAAAATTTTTCGAATTAAATTAAAAAGTAATCAAAAGCGTGGCCCCACCGGTCAGGAGTCGACCTGCGATCTTCAGGCACAATTACCTACTAGACTTTAGATGTTAAAAAAATCAATGGATCTCCTCTTGTGTTAATTCATGATTTATGGTCATTCTTTATGCAACAAGAAAATCAAGAAAAAATACCTGTGAAGTAGTAACTGATGCAAAAATAGCAATCAAAACCAATAAAATTCCCAAAGCCAACAAAATAGGCCCGGCTATTTGAACTGGAGGAATCATATTATTCATAGCCTCTTCTTCTGTCCATCTCCAAAAAGGTTGTTGATAAATCAGAAAATACCCCAAATAAACCATCATAGCCCCTCCAAGCATAAAAAACATTCCAAAAGCCCAAACACAAATTACAGCAGAACTGCCCCGATATTTACTTTAAAATATAAATTATTTAAAAATTAAAAAACAAACAAACTTTGTTCTATAAGGGAAAAATCCAAAATGTGCCGGGTAAAGTAAATCCCATCCTTTTGGATAAAAATAGAAAAAAGGGTCTCTTTGTGCCATAGGGCCAAAATGTATAACTCTTTGATTGCCAGTCCATTGCATCGGATCTAATTCTGTTGGCCCTGTTTGAATTAAATCATCCCTTTTGTGTTGCTGCATTTGATGGAATCTGTCTTTAAAAATTAAAAAAATAATTTTACAGAAATTAAAAATAAAATACTGTGAGGACGCCGTTTCCGTTTTGCAATACTTCTATCAGAAGCTGTAGAAAAAAGCATGTGGGTACGCGTTTTGTCGTGAACATTGACAGATTGGAATCCTCTTCGTCTTGGCAACTAAATTGAAAAAATATAGAGAATAGGACTTATGTTTGACAAGTTCTAACCATTTTTTCATCAAATGCAACAACTGAAAATAAAAAAAATACAAATAAAAATTCCTAACAAAAAACTCAAGAACACGCCAAAACGGCGCGCGGCCATAACGGCGCAAAGCCATAACTAGCTGGAAAATTTCTGGACCTTATCAATTTTGATACCAATCTCCTTAGCTCGATGAGGGGAATCGTTTAGTACCAAATTAGGTAAGATTAGAAAAGCTTGAAGCAAGTTATGGCTTTGTGCCGTTATGGCCGCGCGCCGTTTTGGGCGTTTCCCACACACTGAAATAAATGGTTTCGAACTGTCTGAAATCCAGAGAAAATCCAGACATTTCAGTGCAGAAACTGAGAGTGGATAAAAAACGCTTTTTAAAATTTTTATCTTTATCCTTATTTTCTTTTAAACTTTTGTCTTTCAAAATTTCTTTTAAATTTAGTTCAATTAAAAAATTTCAAATGGAACATTCACAAAATTTAGACGAGGTAAATAATTTTATTTTCTCCTTTTTTAAAAATTTTTTAGGAAACTCAAATAGCAAATGTTGAATTAAGACAGCGTTTTCTTCGTTTTCTTAAATGGTTGCCAAATAATCATGTTGAAGCAAAAATGTTTGGTGCTAATTTAAATGGAATTTTAACTGCTGTAGATGCTGCTAATTTTGAGTTAAATTTAAATTTTCTTTAAAAATTTTTAACAAAAAAATATTTTTTAGTCATTTTTTACTTAATAAATTACACACTCCAACTGGTTTAGTTGAACATGCAGCTTTACGAACTCGGGATACAATTTATTTAAAAATTGATTTGCCAAACAATAAAAAGAATAGTTCGGAAGATGTTAAAATGGAAGTTGTGCAGCCTCAAAAGAATGAAAATAAAGAAGTTAAGTGTCAAATGGAAAATAAGGTTATTAGTTTAAAATATAAATGTCAAGAAACATGTGGTACTTGTGAATTATCCTCTGAAACCATTTTATGCGGTGGATGTTTTTCACAGAAAAGGCAAACTTTCTTCCGCCATTTCACTCAATTTTCCGTGGTTCAATGAAACATTGATTTGGGATAACTCATAAGTACCAAACATGTTTTCAGTCAAAAATCTATCCATTGTATGGTCCTATTTATTTCTTTTATTAATCAAAATAATAAGTTAATCATTGAAAAGAAAAAATTTTGCCAAAAAAATTTTCAAATAATTTTTAAAATTCCATATTTCCAGATTACTCCAAAAGAAACTTCTATTAAACCAGAAGTTAAAAATTCTGAAGAAAACAATGCTGAAGAGATTACTGAAATGGAGGTTACTACTTCAACGAGTGAATTCTCTACTCCATTAGGTAGTACAAAAAGTGAGGGGCAGAAGAAAAAACAAATGAGTGTGGCTGAAAGGATGACACGTTCTACGGCATATTATCTTGAACGAATTAAAAATTAAATTATTTGAATATTTTTGAACAATTGGAGATTTTAAAAATAAATTTTAGAAAATAATTGTGAAAACCTTTCAAAAAATTTGAACATAAGAATTATGGGCATTTTATAAAAAAAATTAAGAATTTGGGCATTTAAAAAATTAGAGACATAAATGAATAAATTAAAATACACGAATACGACGATTAAAAAAATAAAATTAAGAATAAATGGTCAAGTAGTGCAAACATTTATAACTCAAAAAATACTCAAAACTTGAGGTAATACCAAGGCCCCCCCCCCATTTTTCTGTTCTATTTTTTCATTTTCTATGGCAAGTTATATCCATCCGAAAGAGCCGGGTCGAACAGTATTAAAATCCCATGCAGTAAATAAACATTTTTATAGTTATAGAGGTTAGCACTTTAGTTTAAAGTCAAAAGAATTAAAAAACATTATAAAAATAAATTAATAAATTGTGTCAAAAACTTCCAGGGAAGCTTAATATTGGAGCCAGTTTTCCAATTTCATTAACCTGAATGGTCACTTGGTAGATTGCATACTTCTTTCGGCCGCTGTAGTCAATCCGTTCTGCTAAACGATGGAAAGTAGCAACATTTCGCACTCCCGGCCTGCACATTTCACGACAAATTCCATCCCACAAAGCTTTCTAAATTAAAAAACAAATAAAAATATTCAATTTTAAAATCCAACCTCATTCTCTGTCTTCATGTTAAAACCACCAAATACTCCATAAACACAAGTCTGGCGAATTCCGACCAGATGGCGAGGAATTTGATATAAGTTGCGGAGTTCAACCAATCCAATCCAGGGAAAATCAGCATCTTGGACCTTGAATTTAGAAGATTAGAGAAATGAGAAATTGATTCAAAAGAGCAACAAGAGAAGTGAGGATTTGAGGACGGATATTAATAAGGAAAAATCGGTTTTGTAATTTCTGATTTTTTACTAGCTCAAAAATATTTTATCTAAAAATTCCCAACCATAGCTAGTCCATTGCTTTGTCCAGTAATTATTCCACGCCTAAATTCCCTCATTCCATTTTCAGAAAAATGGGCATATAAACAACAGCAACCCTCAAAAGTTTCATTTTGGTGTAGTCTTCTAGCCTTCTCATCTACAGGTTTTAATTTTTTAATTTCATCGTAGTATTGCCTTAATTAAACCGAGTTCAAAAATACTCAAAAAACAAAAACCTCAATTCACTCATTACAAATTGAAAATCATCATTTAATTCAAGAAGTTGAAGTCCAACGCCATCTGTTGGCAATTTGCTGACCTGAACATGCACTACATGAGGTTTAGTCAAAATGTCCGATGGGATAGGATACCGAGGAAGAGTTGACAATATCTACGAAGAAAAAAAAATTATAATTCGTAGAGAAAAAAATAAAAACCTCCTTCATATATTTACGCTCCTGTGAAGGTTTTTGATGGTGTAGGACATGTCGTTTAATCCAAATCTGGCCATTTTCAGAGTCTAAAAAATTCGAAATTAAATTCTTAAATAAAAAGTCAAAAAACCAGGCATTAATTTGAAAACATCATCCCAATACAAATGGAGAAAGCCAGCGAATTTGATTGGCTCCAAATGCGGCGTAGGCGTACAAGGCAGCTTTCCTCTTACTTCATTATATTCTTTTGTAGTTTTTAACATATTCATCTTAAAAATTAGAAATTGAAAATAACCAAGAAATTAAAAAAACTAACGACATCTGTCAATAACATTCTTTTCTGTTCTGGAATTATTTCGAAAACTTTGTCGGCTATTTTTAAATTTTTGTAGATTTCCGCATTGATTTGTGGAGCCGAACTGACCTTAAAAATTAAAAATAAGATCCCCTCCACTCCAATCCCCTCCACTAAAAACGTACAAAAATATTTTTTTCTTCGCTGGATTCATCGATTGTAAGTGAAATGATGTCTGGTTCTTGCAATATAAACATTCGGCCACAATAACGGAACACTTCAAATTCGTAACCTTCTGGCATTAATCGAGTGCAGAATAAATCCCTCAACTAAGAAATTAATTTTAAAAATTTTCTGATAAGAAAAAGCATACAAATCTTGGTGTTAAATATTCTCCATAATTTTTAAAGTAAAGTTTGTTGAGTGTATTAAAAGTAAATTTGCCATTTTCTTTCTCGTTGAAAAGACTGACTAGTTTGTTAAGATTTTCCTAAAAATTAAAGTTGAAATGAAAAATTTTAATTAAATCAACTGACTCGTCTAACTTGATCGAATGGGTGCTTTGAAAAAAGAAATTCCCAAAAAGCATCATTGCGTAGCTTGGAGAAGTCGTGCTTGCTGTATTTATTAGCAAACATTTAGAAATAATTTTATTTACCTATAAAAAATGAGGAAAACAAATGCAGAATTTACATTTAAATAGGAAAAGGAGCTTATCAAAAAATATAATCGTTATTTGCTTCGGGTTAAATGAGAAAAATTGGAAAAGCATTTATAGGAAAGAAGGCAAGTATTAGTTAAAATATTGCAAACACGTTTGTCAGAGCAGAACTTTTTGGTATTAGGGACCTAAACGCATTCCAATGAACAGAAGACCAACACATCTGTTGAAGATGTTAACTTCCATTCAACGGTATCACGACTTTTGCGCCGAGAACATTTGCGCCGCGACTTATGCGCCGCGACTTTTGCGCCGCGACTCTTGCGCCGCGACTTTTGCGCCGGGCGACAAATGCGCCGCGACTTTTGCGCCGGGCGACTTATGCGCCGCGACATTTGCGCCGCCATTGTTTAAAAAAAATAAAATAATAACTACAATCGGACCTCACTTTAGTGTATCACTTGGGGTTAAAAAATGGTATCCAGGAACTGAAGGAAGTCCAAGAAGTACAATAGGGGTCCGGTACTGAGAATTAGGTCTGGACCATAAATGATGAATTAGGTCTAAATTCCCTGAATTAGGTCTAAATTCACTGATCCGATATCCCAAATGATTTCTGATTTGCTGACTTTTTCGGATCAGGACATTTGGATTTGATAACCCTATTCCGGTATGATTTTCAGTCCCAAGAGTGTGCATTATAGCGTAGGGTTGTCGTATCCGGAACCGAAAAAGGCCGGATATCCGAAATTTTCAGCTTGGATATCGGATCCGGATATCCTAAGATTTCCAACTATCCGACAACACTACTATAGTGAGGTCCGGCTGTAGTTATTTGAATATTTTTAATGATAGTGGCGGCGCAAAAGTCGCCCGGCGCAAAAGTCGCGGCGCAAAGGTCGCCCGGCGCAAAAGTCGCGGCGCAAAAGTCCCCCGGCGCAAAAGTCGCTCGGCGCATAAGTTGCGGCGCAAAAGTCGCGGCGCATAAGTCGCGGCGCAAATGTTCTCGGCGCAAAAGTCACGGAACCCATTCAACCTTTTTTAAATAGTATAATAATCCCCTTTACTATTCAATATGCATTCTGAGAACTTAGTGTAAGGCAAAGAATAAAACAGTAATACTACTATCACAGTAGAATTCAAACTCGTAACTGTTTTAATGAATTTAGGTAGAAAATTTTATAAATTAAAAAATATTTCAAAAAATAAATTAATTCTTTTTGATTAATAAAATTAATTTTTAAACAATTTTAACAATAAATGAGGAAATGAAAAGAATAATAGAAATAATAAATAAAGTAATATTATCTTAAAAGAATATTTAAAATATTTTTTAAATTCATTTAAATATATTACAAATAAAAGTTAAGAATCTTTTTCTTTTACTCTTTAGCATTAACTAAATCACAAACAATTTCACAAATATCTAAACCAGTTTGTATATTATCATATTCACTAAGAGGTAATTGAACATCAAATTCATTACAAATTTCATCAAATAACTTAAAAAAATTCAGAAAAATATCGGTACTTTATTAATATCCCCCCACACCCATCCTTATTTGAGTCTCTGATTAATTTTCCCTTTTTACTGTCAATTAGGGTTTCGCCGGAAGTTCCGGTTCCGGGTTCCGGAAGTTCCGGTGTTTTTTTGGTTCCGGTTCCGGTTCCGGGAACCGGAACTCAAATTGGTTCCGGTTCCGGTTCCGGCTCCGGTTTACAAATCGGTTCCGGCCAAACCGGAACTTTTTTACACCCCTAAGGATTGGTTTTTTTTAAAAATTAATGAACTACTCGTACTCGCGTACTTGGTATTAAAAGAAAAATCGAAAAAAATATGTTTAATTTCTTTCGTCCCCCCTCATATGACCGGGTGGCCCAGTGGTTAAGGGGTTAGACTTCACCCAAAGCATTGATGATTTAAAGATGGGTTCTATGCCTTGTCAGAGAATAAAGAATTTTCTTATTTTTCTTTCCATAATTAATTTATTTTATGAGTTTAATCTTGTTTTAAAAATTATATTCTATTTTTACATTGAGGAATTAGGGCCTTTTGCTCTCCAAAATTTATAAAATTCCTTGTTCGACAAAGAAGAATGGTTAATTTTTTTGCCCAAGGCCTTCTGAAATTTTAAAAAATTTCGCCTGCGGCGCTGAAAAAAGAAATCTGGTAGCTTATTTTTCTAGATTTCTTTAAAATTTTCGCCAGCGACCCTAAAAAAGAAAGTAGTATGTTATATCGGAGGATTTGGATGGATTAAGGTGGATTTTGTTCTATATCGTACCCCTCCTTATTCCACTGATATGCCTAAAATCACCCTTACAATTCCGAACCTTTATATATCCCGTTATCAAACACGTATATCCGACAAATACCACTTAATCGCTGACAAATTTTCGGTTCTGTTTCGGATAACCGAAAAATTTGGTGAAATCGACAACCCTGCTTAAAATAAAAATTTTTAAAAATTTTCTAGCAAAATTTTTAAAGTTCCGGTTCCGGTTCCGGGCCGGAACTTAGAAAAGTTCCGGTTCCGGGAACCGGAACTCAAATTGGTTCCGGTTCCGGTCAAAATTTCGGTTCCGGCGAAACCCTACTGTCAATCATTCTTTCCCCCACAAATTTTAAATGACAATTTAGGCCTCCTTTCTAATTTCTCCTTCTAACTTGCCATTTACTTATAACGTGTGACGGAAAGAATGAAAGGGATGGGGGATATTAATAAATTACCAAAATATCTAACCTTCCTTTTTGAATTATTAATTCCCAGAGATGTAAACCATGCATTAAGACCCTTTTCTTTAATTAATTCTTGATTTATTGAAGGTTGTCTTTTAATTATTTCTAATATTTTTTGTTTAATTTCTTCACGATTTAATTGTTTCTTTAAAAAAAATTAAGAAAAAAATTATTTTAAAATTAAAAAAACCTTGAATTTAAATCCATATAATTCCTCAAATAAATTGTCATCAAATTCTTTTTTTGTTTTTATATTTCTCACATTTTTTAAAGAAATGTTTCTATTGAAAAGTAAATTTTTTGAATTAAAGAGAAGTGAACAAGCCCTTCTATTTTGAATTTTTGAAACAGAAAAAAATATTTTTAAGAGAGAAAGTGACATTTACTTAATAGCTAAAAGAAAAATTTTTTAGATTAGAGAAATTAAATTTTTTGAGGAATTTAAATGAAGAATAGCTTCAATTTCGAATTAAAAAATTTTTTAAATTTATTCTACGTTTGGGTGGGGGCTAACTCGAGGAATTCCAACTCACGGAGCAGACAAGTCGCGGAACGACAAGCCACGGGATTATCAACTCAAGGAATGACCAAAACACGGAATATTTTAAAAATCAGAATATTTTTAGAAATAATAGATTTACAGAATTTTTTAAAATTCTGTTTTTAAAAATATTCAGATTTTTCCAAAAATTCCGATTTTTAAATTATAACGTAACTTGTCCGTTCCGTGACTTGTCCGCCTTGAATTAGCCCGACACGTCTACTTTTATTTAATTTGCTTGTTCAATTTTTGATTTTTCCCTTTCCTCCTCCGCTTCCTTTTTCTGTTCTGCTTTTCTTTGTCTAATAGTTTTTCTAACATTTGGAATAAATAATTCATTACAAATATGACTATGAACATCTCGAAGGGTTGTAAAATCCAAAAAATGTCCATTGTGCATATCCACGTCCAATTCGGTCTCAACAAAATCCAAAAACTAAATGTGAATTTTTCTTTAAATTTCAAAAAATTTAAAAACTAACCTCATCAATATCAGCTATTTTAATCCCCATATCCCAATGCATTTGTGAACCAAGATTAAACAAAAAATCCCTGCGTTTATCAAATTTATACAAAATAGCAATTAATCGTTCTTCTACTTCTTTTGATGTTTTTGGTTTTTCTTTCTAGAAAAAAATTTTTTTAATAAAAAAAAGATAAATTTACCTTAAAGTTAAATCCAAAAGTATTTTCAAATGCTGAATTGTCAAATTCATCTCCAATTTTATTTTTTTGATTAGATAAGGAAAATGTTCTGATTAGCTGTATTTTTGGATATTTTAATTTATTAATGAAATTACGTGAAATTATTGCATATATAAAAGAAATCATCTGAAAAATGTAAAGGTTTTTTGTTTAAGAAAAACCCCTTCATGACAAATAAAGGAACCCTCGTAAAGTTAGGGTAAAAGAAATTGAGAATTGATCTGCCAGTGGAGAAATAAGGAATCTCCGATCAAAGTTTCCCCCCGGTATCTCCAAAAAACCGAGAAAAGGGACAAAATCTGCTGGTGACTGAAACGGCTTGAAAATAAAAAAGTGAGACTGAAGTGTTCTGCTAAGGTCAATTTGGTAAAGTTACATTTCGTCACTATGATTCGTCACAGCTAGAAAATTTGAGGTGATCTTTTGGGTTTCAGCTTTCAGTGAAAGTTTTGGCTATTCTGTCAGTTACAAATTTGATGACTTTTAAAATTTTCTATTTTTTAATCTCAGAGTTCAATTCTAGGTATTAGTGACGTTTCCCGTCCTTGTCCATTTTTTTCTTGATGCACATAATTAGGGCTGGGGCCGAAATTAAATCCGAATTCCCCCGATCGAATCGGGCATCGAATTCTAGCCCGAAAAGACTCGATCGGTCCTCCCGTTAGCCAAATCCTAAATCATTAAATGTACTCTGTGCTTCAAGAAAAAAGGGCAGTGACGGGAAACGGCATTAGTACCAAATTCACTTACATTGGTGAAAAAGAAGATAGTGCCTGACGCACAAATTTTCCCTTCATCAAATTATCCTATTCTATTCTGTCTCCAACAAAGTTGAAAAAGGAAAATTTGTGCGTCTGGCCCATCATTTTCCCGGCAATATATATAATAAAAAATTTAAGATGGACAACTATCAAAATATCCAACAAAAAGTCTGTCTTGTAGTTATTGACGGATGGGGCCTTTCCGATGAAAAACATGGGAATGCAATTGCTGAAGCTAGAACACCTATTATGGACAAACTTTGTTCTGGAAATTGGCAAAAATTGGAAGCACACGGTCTTCATGTTGGATTGCCAGAAGGCTTAATGGGAAATTCTGAAGTTGGACATTTGAATATTGGAGCTGGAAGAGTTATTTATCAGGTAAATATTTTATCATTCTCTAATCATTATTAAAAACTTGAGGATATTGTTCGAATTAATTTGGCTGTTCAACGAAACGAGTTTGTTACAAATCCCCAGATTGTTGCATCAGCTGAGCGTGCAAAAAAGGGGAGTGGTCGATTGCATTTATTAGGACTGGTTTGCTCAAACTTGATTCAAAACTTTCCAAATTTTTTAGGTTAGCGATGGTGGTGTGCACTCTCATATTGACCATCTTTTTGCATTGATACGTGCATTTAAACAATTACAAGTGCCAAAGGTTTTCATTCACTTTTTTGCTGATGGTCGAGATACTTCGCCAACGAGTGGAGGTTTGGGAACGGTTTTTCAAAAAGATATTTTTAACACTAGCTGGTTATCTTGAACAACTTCTTCAATTTATCTCTGCGGAAAAGTATGGAGAATTGGCTACTATTACTGGGCGTTATTATGCAATGGATAGGGACAAAAGATGGGAGCGTATTAAGGTTATATGGAGGAAATGTTTTGTATTAGTTTTTCTTTTTTTAGATGGCTTATGAGGCAATTATTGGTGGTATTGGGCAAAGAGCCACTGTGGATAGAGCTGTCGATGTTGTTAGAGAGCGATATGCGCAATCCGAGACTGACGAATTTCTTAAACCAATTGTTTTTTCTGACGACGGGCGAGTGAAAGGTTGTTTTAAAATTCTTTAATTTCTTAGAAAACTTTTTTAGACGACGATACTCTCATTTTCTTCAATTATCGTGCTGATCGTATGCGTCAAATTTGTGAATGTTTGGGTCTCGAACGTTATAAGGATCTTAATAGTTCGATTCTTCATCCTAAAAATATTCAAATTAGTGGGATGACTCAATACAATAAAGAAGTTTGCTCTAGAAATCTTTAATATTTTTCTCATAATTTTCTTTTTGAGTTTCCATTTCCATCACTTTTCCCTCCTGTGACTCATACTAATGTGCTTGCTGAATGGCTTGCTTCTCAAGGAGTTACTCAATTTCATTGTGCGGGTAATTGAATTTATATAATTGTAATTGATTATTTATTTGTATCTTTCTTTAGAGACTGAAAAGTATCCTCATGTTACCTTCTTCTTCAATGGTGGGCGAGAAGTTCAAGTATTTTTAGTTTTTCATTACTTAGTTTAATAATCTGCCGCTTGTTTAGTTTCAAGATGAAGAGCGTTGTATGGTTCCATCACCAAAAGAAGTTGCTACATATGACTTAAAACCAGAAATGAATGCTGCTGGAGTTGCTGAAAAAGTTTTAAAATTAAAACTGAAATTAATTAATAAATTTTTATTTTTAAGATGGTCGAGCAAATTGAGTCAGGCAGGCATCCGTTTGTTATGTGCAATTTTGCGCCTCCTGACATGGTTGGACATACTGGCAAATTTGAACCTGCCGTCAGAGCATGTCAAGCTACGGGTTAGTTTAATCCTTCCAGGATTTTTTTAATAGTTTTAACTTTAGATGAGGCAATTGGAAGGATTTACGAATCATGTCAAGCATACAATTACGTCCTTATGGTTACTTCTGATCATGGAAATGCTGAGAAGATGATTGCTGCCGATGGTAGTGAACATACTGCACATACCTGCAATTTGGGTTTGTTTTTGTTTAAATTTTATTTCTTAAATTCAATTTAATTTTTAGTCCCATTTACTTGCTCTTCCAAAAAATTTGTTTTTAAATCGACTCCACCTACTGGTGATGATGGCAAAGAACGTGCACGAGCCTTACGTGATGTTGCACCAACTGTTCTGCAATTAATGGGCTTACCTGTGCCGCCCGAGATGGATGGAGTTCCGTTACTTGAACAGAGAGGATAAGAAGTTAATTGATAAATAGGAAATAAATATGAGCTGCTCTTGCAAGCAATTTTAAAAACTAGTAAAACGAGTAATTTTTAATATATATTTAGAAATCTCTGTTATAAATTAGTCATGAAAATTTCCTTTTTTTAGTTGTTCTTTCTATAGATGTTTTAGTTTTATTTGCTTCTTTGATAAATGTTGAGATATTTGTTTGAATATTAAAATATGTTTTTGTCATCATTTATTTCACAATTCTAATACATTTTTAACTTGTGACAGATTTACAGAAAAGAAAATGGGAACACATTTCTTGATTGGTCTTCGTACTGACAATTTTGTTATTCTTGCCGCGGACAGAAATATGTACATGTATGGGGCTCTCAAGCTTTCAAAAGGTTTTTCTTTGTTTCTAAATGAGAGTCTAAATTTTTTAGAATACGAACGTGATTACAAGCTTGGAAAGCGTCTTTATATGATTTGTGGAGGGGAGTCTGGAGATATGGATTCTTTTGCAACTTGGGCGAAGGCTAACATTGATCTTTACGAACGTCGGAATGGTTTGACGGGTTTCTTTTATTTTAAAGCTTTTTAAAAAGGTTATGAAATGCGTCCTCATGCTGTGCAGCATTGGTTGCGAAAGTCGATGGCTGAAAATCTGCGTTCTGAGGATATGTGGCGTGTAAATTGTATTATTGGTGGTTATGATTTACTTGACAAAACGACCTTTATGAGTATGATGGATCATTATGCGACTAATTTGCCATGCCAGGTTTTAATATTAAAATTCTGTACATAATAATTAAATACATTTTTATTATAATTTTAATTGTTTCTAATTTAGGATTATATATTTTCTGGCTTTCCTGGCAATTTTGGATACGCGATTATGGACAACCTTTACAAACCGGGTATTTCCTTTATTCAATATTTTCTATACAACACTAACCTTATTGTTTTTCAATTCCAATAGATATGACAGAAGAGGAAGGACTTGATGCTGTAAAGAAATGCATTGACCAATCTGCTAAACGTTCAATCATTCATTTGACTGGTTTTCGTGTAATTGTCATTAATGCTGAAGGGTCAAAAGTTATTGAAGGGTTTAAACCGGAAATCTAAACAGAATTCGTTTTGTTGTTATTTTGAGTTTGCTTCTATTTAAATAAATTGATAAAATGTAAATATCTTTTAACATATTGCATTATTCAATATTGTTTTTAATACATTTTTTCTACTTTTTTTCTTTTTCTAAAATGTTCTAAATTTATTCAGTTAAAAATAGTTTCAAATAATAATGGGAGATAATGATAATTCAGTTAATCATTCGACTGCCGATAGTGAACAACACCCTCAACATTTAGAAAATCAAGTTTCGGTACCTGATGATATTCCTCTTCCAGTTCCTCCACTTGCTGAGATAACTGAAGAAAACCAAGCTTGGATGAAAGCTCAAGAAGCACTGCGTTCTATTGGGTCGAAAAATACCTATAGTGCGCAACAAGACGCTTATGCTTCTGCTTTTCCACGAAATTATGGCTGGCCACCCCAAATGGGAGGATCAATGTACTCTACAGGTGTCTACCCGTCTCCTTTCGCAGGTGCTACTGGTTTCAATCCTTACTACCAATACCAACAAAACAGCCGATTTCCGGTACAATCGAGTGCATCTTATAGGCCTATGACTTCTTCAACCTCGAATATTGATCCATCAAATTTGGTACCAGTCCCAGTGAATGCTCAGCCGCTTCCGCCGCACATCGCTTCAGGTTTAAATTGTGTTTACTAGGAATTCCAATTTGTTTCAATTTAAAGGTTTGCAGCAAAGTCCTCGCCCATTTAAACCTATCAGATTTATGCTTAATCCTGGTGGTATTACTGTCTCCCCATCAAGACCACCAACACCTCAACAATTTCAAACGCAAAAATTTCTTGGATCAACTGGTGTAAATGCATATCCGAATGATTTGAAGTTAGTTTTATGATAACGTAATAATATTAAACCTTTACTTACAGAAATTATATTGAACGTGCTTACCAGGCTATTGAAGGCAAAGAAGACCGCGAGAAGTTAGAAGGGTATTTAAAGTTACGCGTTGAGCCTTTGTTAAAATCTGGCGCTGTTTATGCCGTGAATTGGGTTAATTTTATTTAGGATATTTATTGTTTCAGTTTTTTATTTAACTAATATGATCCTAAAAGTTTATAGCAAATTTCGCCCGTTTTAGGCTGCCGAACCCTTACCCCACGAATTGGGCTTTAAATTAAAAACTAGTTGGACCCCAAGTTGTACTCTAAAGAATCAACAGCAAAAACCAGTGCAATCTACCGGGAGCAAAGCCTCAGAAGGATCTTGGAGGAAAGAGACTCCGCAGATTACCAGAAGGTTTAATTTTTTTTAAATATATGGCTTTATCTCTATAACAATATTTAACACAAAACATGTTTTCCACTAAAATGTAACCGATAAGTACCTTTTCTAGATTAGACTCCATATTTTGCCTCGTACCATTATGAATTACTTAATCATATCCAACTTTTCAGTCCTGCTTTGAATGGACAAACTGTGCAAGTGACTATGAATACCAATGTTGGTTTATATGCGCCACCCGGTTCCGGTACTTCCTTCTTATCATCGTCAGTTGCTTCTTTTCATTCTGTCCCTGTTCATGATCACTTACCTTCCCTCTCAAAACGTAGCAGAAGTCGTTCTCCTCTTCGCGATTTTGATCAACGAAGTATTCAAAGTGTCCAAACTGTCTCTTCTTCATCAACTACTACAGTTGAAATGAAGCCATTGACTGTAAAGCAAGGACCTCGAGCCGCAGCTTTTGGTGCTCAAATGGATTACAAATGGGAGAACTCTCAACAGCAAAAATATCAGCAATTGGATGATCCAAAAAATGTATTTTTAAAAATATGTCTTTAAAATTATTTTAAATTTCTATAGACAATGAGCAAAAAAGAAAGGAAGAAGTTGAAAAAACTTCAAAAATTTCAAGAAAAACATCAGCGTTTGGAAATGGAGGCCTCAAAAAATCAGCCAACATCTACCTCCAACAACGCTTTTACTTCATTTACTCCAATTGAAGTTTCTCCACAAAAGTGGCAGGTTCAGAAATAAATTTTTGTTTAAAAATTTTTTTAATTAAAAATTCCTCTATAGATTGATATGCCAAGTGAACGTAAAATGGAACGAGCAAGACGTTTTGCTGCTAGCGATAACCGGTTTGGGACAAGAGGCCCAAATAGACGACAACAGAAAAAGTTTAAAGATTTTTTTATTTTAATATATTCTTTTTAGTTATTCACCAATCCCTCAAAATTTATTTGTTACTTCAAATGAAATTTCACAGAGTTTCGTTGGATTAAATATTGTTGGGACATGTACTGATATTGGTAAATTTTGAATGTTTTGGGTTGCATTAGGGGGGGGGGGGTAAAGGGGGTAAATGTCTTAGGGGGTAAGGCTTCGGCAGCCTAAAACCCAAATTGCCAGAAAATAATAAAATATATTTTATTATTTTAAAGAAAAATCTTTCTTTCGTTTAACAACTGCACCTGATCCAAGCCAAGTTAGGCCTCCAAATATTCTTTTACATTCATTGGAAAATGCAAAGAAAAAATACAAAGAAACACGTGATTATCGATATGTAATTAATTTATATTTTTTGAAATTAATTTTTAAAAATTTATTTTTTAGGCCTCAGATCAATTAAAAAGTATTCGACAAGATTTAATGATTCAAAATATTCGAGATGCATTTACAGTTAAAGTATATGAAACTAATGCGCGTGTGGCTTTAGAAAATAAAGACAGAGAGTTTGTTTTTTTCTGTTATTCTTAGATTTTTTATTCCACTTTTAAGTTTTCTCTCCCTAATTTACCGGTTAATCTTTTCGGTTTTTTTTAAATGTTAAGCTCAAAAAATATAGTGACCCTAAGTGTATTTGTGGTTGAGTGGGTAAATTGTAGTTCTGCCCCGTAAATGGAAATGAAGAATAAATGTTGGGAAAATGAAGAAAAGTTATCCATTCTCTGATGGCGATTGCAGTAAACATTTCATGTTTTACTTGTGATCAGTCAAGGTAGAAAACATAAATCCCGAAGCTGATTCCCGACATTTTTTAATTTCTAAAATTTATTCCTACAATAATTCCTAAAAATTTCTTTTATTTTAGAGAATTTAATCAATGCCAAAACCAACTAAAACAATTATACAAATTAGTGCCAAATTGCCCAAATTGTTGGGAATTTACTAGTTATCGCCTTCTATACTACATTTATATGAAAGAAACTTTGGGTGAGAAATCGAATTTTAAATTAAATTTTTCAAAAAAATATTTTTAAAATTAAATTGTTATAATTTAAAGATGTTGCCTATTTGTTGGATGAACTTGTCCCAGCAGCAATTTCTGATGAATGTATGGGATTTTCACTAATGGTTTGCTTTTTAGATAATAAAAAAATGTTTTGAATTTTAAAGATTTGGGATGCCTGGTCTATGGGTAATTATATAAAATTGTTACGTTTATATGCAAAAGCTCCAAAAATGTCAGGTAAAACTGATAAAATAATTTTAAAATTAAATTGAGAATTTATTTTTTAGGTTATGTAATGGATATGTTTATTGATAGAGAAAGAACTGAATTTTTGATCTCAATAATTAAAGCGTAAATTTTTATTTTTAAATTAAAAAAATATTTTTATAAAAAAGGTTTCGCCCTGGTATCAAACTTTCATTATTAATTAATTGGTTACAATTGGAAAATGAAAAGGCCCTTATTGAATTTTTGAAACAAAGAGGTATTGAAATTGATGGGAGTGAAGATGTACTTGATTGCAGGAAATATGCAAATATAAATATTAAGTTCTAAAAATATTTTGTATAATAAAGGGAGTTTGCTTTTCTTCGAACTGACTTGAGAAAGTTTCGAGAATTAGACACGAAACTCGACTTTTTTGACAAAAATATATTTTCGATTTAGCCTAAAATCCAAAAAATTAGAAAAGATTATGGCGGAAAAACAATTATAACTTTCCGAAATTTCGGGAGATAGGCAAGGAATGGTCCCAGACCCAGTGGGCGTAGGTCCCGAAAATGAACAAATGTTTTGAAACCATACCCCTACTTTGCAATACCAAGAATAATCCAATTATTTTTTGATTGGACGCATAAAAGTTCATTGGACGCATAAACTAGACCAGCACCAAAATTATCTGTCGCTTTGAAACATTTTCTATTTCTAAATTTCCTGAACCAAGGTCATTAAGGCCCGACAGGGAATCCAAAGAATTAAATACGGGGATTTATGTGTGGAAGAAGCAATTTCCCTAATTTTATCTTTTTAATTTCCTCCTATGTATGTGTTTATTGTGATTTGAGATCATCTAATATTGATTATTTAATACTTTTTTATTCAAAATGAAATAATCAAACGTTTTAGATACTTATAAACAATTTCTGTTTTGTTTTTAATGTGAATAGATAAATAAAAATTAAATTCATTTTTTTGTCAATTTTTTGGTGTTGTTGGAGTAACTGTTGGAGTTAATAAATATGAGAGAGTTGGAAAAGAACTTTTAAACCTGAAAATAAATTAAAAATTTTTTTTTAATTTTTAAATATTTTTTTACGATCTTGGACGAGGGACTGGTACTTTAGTTATTTGTTTTTCATTGGTTTCTTTTGTCTGATTTAAATTGGTGGTATTTTTTGAATCCTCTATTTCTTTTAAAGATTTTCCAGCTTCTATTAAAGGTGAAGATTTTGTTGGAGGAAATTTATTGTTTATTTGTTGATTTGAGGTTAATTTAATTCCATAATATTTTCTTTCATTGATTAAATGGTTTTTAAATTTTGTTAAATTTTCTTTATAATTTGGATTATTATTAATTTCATTCTGAAAAATAATTTTATTTTTATTAATTAAAAATCTAAATAGGATTTAATATCAATTAGGGGTATTCACCAATAAGGACTGGTCTTGGAGAAAATCTTTGGGGATGTATCGTCATAAGATAAGTTGTAGAATTTTCAAAAAAGTCAAATTTACCCTATTTTCGGAGGCGTGGAAGAGATACATTCCAAGGATGACAAGGGTTGAGAAAAGAGGATAGAAAAAGTCCTAGTTTCGGGTAACTTGTGACATCCCCTGGTACATTCCAAATAACAAATCTTTTTTATTTTTATTCCTAAGATTGCTGCTTTCAATCTCAACTTTTTTCAAAAATTATTTAAAAAAATTTACACAAAATTCCTGTAACAATTCCTTCTCAATTAAAATATTCTTTTTCTCCCCCATTTTATCAAAAATAAATTTTCTTTTAACAAATTGTTCATTATTTAATAATTTTTGAGAATGTTCAATCCAAAAAATATTTTCCTTGCTCTCTAAAATTTAAAAAATATTTTTTTTTCAAAAAATCTCTCCAACCTCTATTCTTTTTTTCAATAATTATTGAAGAATTTTCTTCTTTTTTAATTTTATTATTTTTAAATAAAAATAAAATAAATATTTTAATTAAATATTTAAATATAAAAATATTTATTGGCAATAAAGGGGATAATAAATAACTTAAATATTCTAATAATTCAATTGGATAATTTGTTGTTATTAAATTTGAAAGTAAATAATATAATAAAAATCCAAAAGCAAAAATTGAAAATAAACCCTTTAAAAGATTTTTATTTTTAAGTTAACAGAACTCATTCTAAGTTGCCCCCTTAGGGCTGAAAAATCGTCCATAATGGTTGTCGGTTCTGGACCGAACCGAGGATTTTTCGGTTCGGTTCTTTGGTTTGGTTTCGGATATCTGAAGAATTTCCTGGAACCGATAACTCTAATAATGAGGTTATCTTAAATAGAGATCGGATCAAGACGAGATCTCGAACTATTTAAAATATCGGTTGTCGATGCCCAGATTTTTCAAGATATTTGTCGAGATACGACACTTCCTGTGACACTTCATATTCGGTCTCTAATCTTGCTTAGGCTATTCCGTCCAATCCCAGTGGTCAACCAAATTAAAAAACCTAACTTAAATTGAGGTGTATATCGTTTGTGGGTGTAACTTATAAGTGTTGGTCGTTGGTATTTTTATTTTAAAAAATTTACATAAAAAATAATTGTTGGAATTAATAACAAAAATAATTTAAAAGTTAATCCAAAAATTGCAAAACAATTAATAAATATTAAAATAAAAATAAATAATTTTTGAATTGGTTTTTCATTTTCCATTAAAATTAAAAATTGAATAAATTGAGAAGAAAATATTGTCCAGGAATTTGTTATAAATCCAATTATTAATAAAACCCAACAAATTGGCTAAAAAATTAAAATTATATTTTTAAAATTAAATTTTTATTTTACCTATATATATTTTTTAAAGAATTAATTTTTAAGGGAATAATTATCTTACATACCGTAAATGATAGAATAATTACTAGAGATGTCCGAGACTCTTGGTCTTGGTCTTGGAACCAAGACTTTTCTTGGTTTTTTTTCGGTCTTGGTCTTGGTCTTGGTCTTGGGGTGTTTGTCTTGGTCTTGTCTTGGTTTTATTTTTTGGTCTTGGTTTTTTTGGCCTTTTGGAAATCTGGTCTCTAGTTTCCAAAATTTTCGCCTGCGGCGCAAATAAGGGAAGAAATTTACTACTTAGACTTCCAAAATTCTCAAAATTTTCGCCTACGGCGCAAAAAAGGGAAGAAATCTGGTGTTTGACCTTTCAGATTTTCCAAACTTTTCGCCTGCGGCGCTTAAACTACGTTTTACGTGATTTTGGGAGGGGGTTTGAGATTTGGAGAGATATCTGGTGATTTGGAGATATCCCCTCAATCCTCCTATATCCCTCAGATCCCTTGATCCCTCAATCCCCCTTAATCCTTCCATGACACGAGATCACTATCCATCCAAATTACTATTACTATCCCCTCGATAAAAATGAGGCCCGAAAAAACTGTCGGGCCGATCCGATAAAAATGAAGCCCGTAAAAGACTCGGTCGGGCCGGCCCGAAAAAATGAAGCCCGAAAATTGATGATTAAAATTTATTTTAAGCTAGATATAGTGGATTTTTTGTCTCGAGTCTTGTATTATTTTTGGTCTTGAGTCTTGGAGTTTTGGTCTTGGTCTCGAGTCTTGATCTTGGAAAAAATTTTGTCTTGGGTCTTGAGTCTTGAGTCTTGGAAAAATTTCGGTCTCGGACATCTCTAATAATTACCCTCTCTCAAATAATTACCTCGTTCAGCGAAAAGTTGAAACAATAATTACCCAGGGTAATTATGCGAGCATTTACGTTTAATGATTTAAAATTTTTTTCTTCAATATGATTGGAAAACAATGTTTTGTATGCCTTTTTTCTGTATAATTTTTGCTATTTTTAATGCATATCTCAAGACTCTACTTATCAGTGTTTTCTACTTTTATTAGGTTATTCCTGAGGTTTCCAGTTTTAGGATTTATAACCACTAAAAATTTCCTTTGGAAAAGTAAAGGAAAAACTTTTGATGAAAATTAAAATATTTTTGGCTGTAGTGTAGTGTACCGGTGGTAAAAGTTCGGGACGTGACATATGTCATTCGATTCGTCTCGACGAGCTGAGTCGAACGGTACCACTCCCTACTTTAGGAAATAATTCTGGACCGAGTTATAGGTCCCGAAAAATCGAAAAACCAAAGGGGGGACCAAGCACATTTTTGGGGTGAAAAATTAGAAAATGCAAATTATACCTCATTCGAAAGAGCTCGTCGAGCTGAGTCGAATGACACCAAAATCAACAAAATCCGACTTGATTTGACAAAGTTATGACCGTTTGTTTTAGCTCCTTACCTATGTCATTTGTGGAGATTTTTGCTGCTACGGAGGCCCCAAATACGTCTAGAGCAAGGGAGATAGGAATAGGTTTATGTTACGAGCCCAGACCCACCGCCCGTAGACTCCCCGCGAGGCGCGTGCCGCAAAACCCCGCGCGAAGCGCGGGGTTTTGCACAAGCGCCTCGCCGACACTCCATAGGTTTATGTTTTTTTTTGTTTTTTGTATCATAACTTTGTCTAATCTTGTTCAATCACGGTGATTTTGATGTCATTCGACTCAGCTTGTCGAGTTCTTTCGAATGAGCTAACATTTGTGGAATCGAATTTTAGACCATAAAATCCCCCCTATGGTTTTTGACCATTTCGAGCCCTATATCTCGACTCAAACTTGTTCAATCAAGCTGATTTTGGTGTCATTCGACTCAGCTCGACGAGCTCTTTCGAATGAGGTATAATTTGCATTTTCTAATTTTTCACCCCAAAAATGTGCTTGGTCCCCCCTATGGTTTTTCGATTTTTCGGGACCTATAACTCGGTCCAGAATTATTTCCTAAAGTAGGGAGTGGTACCGTTCGACTCAGCTCGTCGAGACGAATCGAATGACATATGTCACGTCCCGAACTTTTACCACCGGTACACTACACTATATCCATATTTTTAACGACAATTTCCCCTGTAAATGAGAAAATCTAAATATTCTAAATATAAATTTTTAATTTTTTAATTTAAAATAAATAAATTCTCAAACGATAGTAAAATCCTCCTGCTCAGTTTTCTCTGGAAATTTCCACCATTTAAGTTTTCTTTCATTTTGAAGTGAACGTAAAAATAATGAAATAAACTAATTCATTTTAATTTAAAATTTATTTTTTTTAATTTTATTTACCCATTCATTATCCGGTAAATTATTTTTAAAATTTTTTCCATTTAAATTAATTAAATCTTTTTCCTCCCCTTCCTCCTCAATTTCATTATTTAATTTTATAATTGTTTTATTTTCACATATTGCTAATAAATTATTTTTTGTAGAAGATTTAATTGAAGGACTTAACAATTTCTTTT